CCGTTCGGAACATAGAATTTTTCTCGTCGCATTCTGATAGAACAGCAATTGTTTTCAATTACTTGTAAAATAAAATATTGAACACTCCTAATACTTACATTCTCTGAATTATGAACGATGTTTCTCGTGTAACTGATGCTAATGTACTAAATAAACGTTACTGTCTTTATGCAAATTTTATAACCTCGGCAGATATCCTCTCTCTTGAATCGGTTTTTACGAACGTGAAAATCCGGAGTTTCTTTACAACATCGCATCATAGTAAACGTATTTTAGTATTACTAAAGTTTCCGACCTATAATGAGTGAAAGTGTATAGAATGGATTAACCTTTTTCAGTAAATCGTAATGTTCCTGTACAAATTTCGTTCACTGTTTGTACGCACAGTATGTTCGTCTTCTATACTTATCGATTGAAACGGATTAATAAAAGTTCGCAAAGATCCTGAGAAATTCAACTCTACCGAAATGGTATTTATTCTATAATCACTAGTATTACCAGTCAATTAATACTTCCTCCGTGAAAGTCACTTTCCATCGAAATTCAATTAAATCGCAATGTTCGCTACCATTGTCAATCGATTCCAGGAACTAACGTGTACCTTAGAGTGAGAATGAATGATTATGTTAGAGGCGTCACGGGATGTAGGAAAAAGCACCTCAACATATGGTTGAGGACCGTGGGTGAATGTGTGATCGCTTTGCCATTTTTTAAATATTTTAGTGGAGTGTTTGAATTGTTAGATACGGCCAGGGCTGACTATCGTTCTCTTTTCGATCAGGCTCTCTCGAAGGATTCGATTCGAAGTCGATTCGAACGGTATACGACGTTCGATACATGGCTCGAAATCGATCCTTCGAGAATTTTCTTTGCTTAGACGATTTCGAACGCTTACGCGCGGGAATCAGGGCTTTCAAAACGAACCGAAACGATGCCGACTCCATCGTACCAGCAGGATTATCGACTTTTTCTCCGAGGAACTGTCAAGAGAGACCAATTTATTGTCGTTACCACTTTCTCACTGCATTCGTTTGTAGAAATAGTAGTTGTAACAATAGTATCATTGTTGTTGAATGTATGCAGACCTCGTCGCCCTAACGATCAACGCAGCTTGGTCGCGACTTAGAATAGCGTCGCGAAACCAACTATCGCGGCTTGTCTTTAAATCGATTCCAAAGTTAGCATTGCAAGAATAATCGCGTTGCAATAGCTTAGTTTATCTTTCAGAGCCGCAACCCTTCATAGTGTGGCATCCGCTATTTTTCTTAGCGTCGCGAGACGAAGTAACAACGGTTGAGCTAGCGTAACGATTATAAAGACGATTTTATTAGCAACTATTTTTGACAATAGCGAAACCAGATAGTCGGAGGTATCGGATCTCGCAGCATAAGACCGCGAAACACCATCTCTGTGTAACAAACACAGCATCGCTAGACTTCGGTCTATATCCAGGGTATTTTCATTCCTCGAGCCGGAACCACCGACCTTTGCGAAGAGGTGCATCCACTCTGGCGTTGCGACTTCCAGGTTGGTGGATGGTGCGTAGTGTAGGTATCCGGGATGGATTTCAAGGATCTCGTTGCTAAGCTGTCTCAAAGAATTAACGTTACGAGAGTTTTTCTATGCGATTATCTTAGCGTCGTGAAAATTGTCAACCCGTTGCGAGTTAGACTTGCGAAATTAATGCCGCACTGCGCGTAGCTGTTCCAAGGATCGCTTTATCGCACAATCGTCTACGATTCCCTTTAGAGTTTCGTGGGAACGGATCAAAGTGCACGGGAGCTTTCAAATTCGAATCGAACAAATAAACATCGAGATTATCGATACACTGCTCGCGTTGCTGTTGAGAGATTTAACTCTGAATTTGAAACTTGTTGCGACAAAGGGAGCGATAACGAATTACGGATCGTTCTGACTTCTTTTCGGGTTTCCAGTCACAACTTCCACGTGGTGAGAACCAATCAATTGATGTAAAAGAAACCTTGATCATTCTATAACAGAGCCGAAATCCATAATTACATCGAGCTAATGGCTATGAAGTAGGGCTGGGGAAAGACAGATTTTTTAAATAGTGCATAAATTATAAATATTTTTATCTTTTTATGTAATGCAGAAATAAATTTTTTTTGAAATGGTAGTTATACATATGGAAATAGCATTTCAAATAGATATAATTACGTAATAACCATATATATATCAAGAAAAGTTCACTTGCAAAATTCTATATTATATGAGAAGATACAAATATTCAAATTTGTCTGTTTGTTTATTTACTATTCCAAAAATCTATTTCTACCTAGCTCTGTTCTGAAGTAAAACTATTCAAATGCGATTAGCGATGTCAAATTATATATCTATACTTCGCAAATGAAGTTCTCATATTTATAACATAATGTTTTGTTATAATTATAGATATGATATCTGTTGTGAAATCTTCTCTGAATTTTCAGCTACAACCTTTACCTCGGTGATTTGATGATCTGGAAAGTCTAGAATTTTACCAGATAGTATCTATTGGGTTGTTGCAAATGTAATTTCGGTTTTCCAAATAGAATACTTCACGAAAAAACCTGAATTACTTTTGCAATAACTTAATATCAAAGACTTAGGATCCGTAAGGAAATATGTACTCTGCCCGATGCAAACGTTGTGTAACGTCCATAAAAGCACAAAATTTCTTCATCACAAACTCAAGCAACAGGCAGCTATTTTGTAACGTTACGCTTGGTTTGCAATCCTTGTAACAGTGACAGATGATATGCTGTTCAAATACTACAAACATTTCCACAATAAACAAAAAGTGGACATTCTGGAGACTGCTCAGACGTAGATTTGACTTTTACAAGGGAGAATTTTCCACTTCTGAGCTGCTCACTTCGATTTGATGCGACTATTTCAATCATTCGTGCTATGAATGACACGAAATTGTGCCATACACCAGGTTTAGTGAATAGGAGAAGGCGACAGGGCAGGAATAGATTTCTTTCATTCGACAATGTTTTAAAAAGTAATAAACATTATTTTTTTTAATGCAACTATCATTTCTATTGGGATTATGGCTTGGATTATTTCTTAAATGAATATGATATTAATTCTTTTTCTTAAAAGTTTTATTTTGCTTTTATTTGAGAGAAGGTATATGTACGAAATGACTGAGCGACCGAATTCAACTAAGAGACCGGCGACTGAAAATCGCCTGCTTATATACTCTTTTTGGTGTAGTCTTCTCCACCAATCAAAGACGGTCATTCATCGTGTTTTACATTGTATACGCGATACTGGGATCACTAATACGCAGAGCATGACGTGCTCTAACGACACCGGTGATGATGTATCGCGGTATCTATGATATACAGTTTATATCACCGTCGGTGCGCGCTGACGGAACCGGCGGAAATGTAAACTGATATTTTCTTATAAATTCTTTACTCTATGTATTTATTTTTTCACAATTCCGTGTGACACCCGGCATTTACGTTGTTGTTCTTGTGCATCTGGGATTATTAATCTATGGTGCTGACATTATTAAAAATACATTGCTGCCCATGAGTCTTTTTCACACGGCGATTCGCATTTTGTGAATCGATGATTGGTCCGTCGCTTGGCGACTTTCTTGAAATCCTGATTGTAACGGAACGCAGAGAGGGGTTCGTTCGATTCGGGTTCGAAGAACGCAAGATGTTTAGGTTTGGAGATAAGCGCTGGCAATGTGGTGGAGGCTGGCCTTGCATGGACGAGCTGGGCCGATGGAGAGAGAAAATTGGACCGTTGGCTAAGACGGATCGTTGTACAGAAGAACGGGAGAAACCCAATATATATATATTCATTAAAGCTACTGCTTTATTTAGTTTATTCTTTAATAGAAGTTTATAGTTCAGAAGTGGGATGCACTCGCGTGTTGAGAGTCGACCTGATTATTCGAAAATCGTCTTCGAGTGAATGATAAGTGAATTTGACGAAGTGGTATAAGGTCGTGAGATGTCGAAGAAAGTCGGTAAGAGACGATCAGAGTCGCCGGACAATTATAACCGAGAGCGAGTCCGAAAATCGAGCCGATATCATAGGCAGCAGTCTCGGAGTTGACGGGAAATGGAGAAACGTAGGGACTCGGTTATGGGGCCACAGCCATCCACCCACAGGAACCGATCTAGAGAAGGACGATTGGACGGAGGAAGAAGCTCGAGTATGGGTGACGGTACCTCGGGGATTGGTGAGTCCGATTTTGCGAAATTGACGGC